AAAAAAAAAAAGTCTTCACAAAAGCTAATGAAGCAGTTTCTTTCTGGTAAGATGACAACTATTTGTGAAAAATATCAGTCAAAGTTTACGGGAACAATTACAATTTCTCCAAATCAAAAATGTATGTTGTATAACCAAAAAAGCGAGAGTCAAAGAAAATTCTTAAGTGTTTCGTGAATATCTGTTAACTGTTCTATGAATACAGGGAGAGAACACAGCCTTGTCATTCCCGTCAGGCTCAGAAAAAGCACCAGCAGATAGCAGGAAAGTTAACTTAAGCATGAGCTAAAAAATGCACATTGATGTTTTTCAATGAATCTTTCTCTTTTACAGCATGTGCTTTCTGCCCACCAAAATATTTGCCACCATTTAAAGAGGCACTAAAAAAAAAAACAAAACAGTGGAGTTAAAGGAGAGGGAGATGCCCACAGTGCATCAGTACATTAAGGCCAGGCTCCTTTTAAAGTGGATAAGCCCTTATCACAAATTTTACAACAAAAATTTAGTACAGGACAAATCACCCACAGGACAAACTGGAGTGACTGAAGATGGTGGGTGGAAGGAGATGGCCTCCTGAAATACTTTTTGTGAGATAAATGAAAGAAAATGAATAGCTGTACTGCTGAAACATCAGACTCCTGTGATCCAGCATGAGATTAGCATGATAAAGTCTTGTAAAGGTATCTATCGCATTTCACTAGATGCATGTTCCTGGTAGGATCCTACTATGAATAAGGATGTTTAACACATGTAAATGAACATTTTCTCTAATGAAAGTAATCATTCACTGCTCATACTGAAAGACAGTTGCACTGTGGAAGTAGGACCTGTAAATGACTGACATGTTATCCTTCAGAGTCACAAACAGCATAGAAAAGATGATATAAAAGTTCTTGAGATCTAAATGGCAATGGATTTTTTTTCTTTGGGTATACGAGACTCTCAAAAGGCAGCTGCTTGACTGTTACTCTTTCTTATTTTTCCTTCTGTTGGAGAATTCCAGCTTGCCGAAAGTCACTTACAGGTTGTTTTAGCATCTATTTAAAGCTGCCAGGAAGCAGACCACTGGAAGGCAGCAGTCCTCAGGTAGGACACCTTGCCCAGCCTTTTAACAGATGGAAAAACTCCCTAGATGTTTCATTTTCAGACAAGCTCAGGTAAAGCACAATGGTCACAACCTGTACAGAAAAAAATGTCTACTACTCATTCAAAGCTCAGCGACAGGCTCAGCTCCAAGAAGTCTACAGAAATAACTTTGCATCATTAAACTTATTCATGTTAATTATTTACATTAGCTATTCATTACTGTGATTAATCATAAAATAATCAATAATTAATCATAAGTTATTAATTATTCATTTTACAATCCCACATTATTCATATCACCTGTATTGAAACTACCCTTATGAGCACTGCAATTCACATTTGTCACTAGGTACTTCAACAAAAATGGACAGAATCAGAGTCTATCCTAAGGTGGAAGAGACCCACGAAGATCGTACAGTCCAACTCCTGATTCCACTCAGGGCAATCTAGAAGTTAAACCATACATCTAAGAGCACGGCCCAAATGCTTCTTGAACACCGACAGGCTCGAGGCCATGATGACCTCCTTGGGGAACTAGTCTCAGTGCTTGACCACCCAGGTAACAATCTTTATCAATAGTTATAGGTTTAATTCAGCTCCTTAGCAACAGAGAACAATGTGGAATGTGAACCAGACCGTGGTATGCTGGAACCTAGGAATCACAAGATAACACAGAGCCCAGTAAATTCAGAATATGGGCACAAAAATGAGTTTCTATAAGGTGAGCTAACATATGAACTTGGAGCACACATCAGGAAGCTCACAGGAGTTAAGGAGCACACATTCTATTTGTGCAATATTCTTTTTCCTGATCCCTTAGATGCGATACCACAGTGGGACTGGGAAGCCAGAATAACTATGGATCCCTTGAGCATACATACCACTGTCATTTTGGATGAGCTGTCTTTTGCTACAACGAACTGCCTTCACAAAAATTACTGTGTGTGTATGTAGGACATAACGTTATGTATTCAGTTAGTTACATACTGGTGTGATGATAAAAAAAAACTCCAGTGTCTCACTTTTTCCACAGGTCTGTGTGTTTTGAATTTGGGGTCCAGCTGCAGATTCCATCAGACAGGTTTCTCTCATCCGATTTTTTTAAAGTCTACAGTAGAATGGCTATCTCTGAACTAGTCTCATGGCTCTGTCACAGTCCATGGAAACAAACAGGCAATTTAGAGTGTTTTGCCTGACCAGAAGTGCATATTATTTTACAATGAAATGAATCATCTTGTGCTGTATAAGTCGATGGACTAGATTACTGCTTACTAGAAGGGGACCTCGCTAGCATCACTGGCTTGGATATCTCCATTTAGTCAGAGCAATCTCACCTAATACTCTGTTCCAAAGAAAGCAGGCTCCAGGGGGATCTCAGGCATTGAGCTACCCCCGCACTATGAAGGAGTCACTTTAAAGGGTCTTGAAGTTTAAGATCATTACCTCTTCTCTCTAGAAGCCTTATGAGACCTCCTGCATCTGTTGAGAAGATACACTCTTGATATGACTACCATTTACTGCTGTCTCACATGGCAGTTCTTGAAAGCTGTTTCAACTGCTGCTGATTGTTCCGTTGCTGTGACTAATTAGACATCAGGAGGATATTATAACAGGACTTGTCAGATACCCCGCTCTTGCCTGATATGAAAGCAAGGCCTGCTGCTGCTCTTTAAGGAACACCCACTCTGTTCCCTAAGGACAGCTACAGGGAGCTTTTAAGGTAAAGCAGCTGTCGACCTCTCTACCCTGTGACTGCTCAGGGAGAGAAGAGATTTGCCCTAGTTGTTCTTCCCTCCTCCTGCAGCACTATTACTCCCCCTCTCCCCTTACTCTGCACATCATTAAGAACACTGTAGCACTTAGCAGTAGCACAATATTGCCATGTAATGAAGGTATCTCACAGGTGTCCACTGACAGGACAGGAAGAAACGGGCACAAACCAAAACACATGGAATTTTATCTGAATGTAAGGAAACAATTTTTACTGTGTGGGTGGTTAAACACTGGAACGGGCTGCCCAGAGCAGTCGCGGAGTCTCCTTCCTTGGAGGTATTCAAAACCCAACTGGACAAAGTCCTAGGCAACCTGCTCTTGCTGACCCTGCTTGAGCAAAAGGTTGGGCTAGATGATGTCAAGAAGTCTCTTCTAAACTCAGTGACTCTGTGGTTCTGTGCCTCCGCTACTAGAATGAATACAAACCTGTCTATCTACACACATACTGAGTTTTTAAGAACTATTTTCTCAAACTAGACCAACTACTGCTACTTCAGTTAAAAAGAGACTGAAGTCTAGCCCTAAAACAAACACAAGGCATCTGGTTGCAGAGGTTGTCAGAATATTAGACTGGTATAAGTCCTAAACATCTACGAGACCATGGTAAAAAAAATAAAAAGACATGCATAAAGATGTTATAGTTATAAAAGTTACCTAGTTGGATATTACAAACCTGACACAGATAAGAAGTCTGAACTTACCAAAGACTTAGGCAGCTTTATGTTCTTCTTCCTTAGTTTCTTGCAGCCACAACATACTGTAAACACTAGACTCAGGCTCAGAATAACCACACACAGAATGACGATATATTGTGTGCCTAAGAAGTTAGAGCAAAATCTGTTAGGAAGTTTGGAAAAATAAGCCGCTGTGTCATTTAGAATATCTTGAGAAACTGTAATAGCTCAGAATGCTTAGCTATAATGTGTGAATTTGACAAATTCACCACCTTTTTTCACTCAGGAAAACTTAATTTATAAAGCATTATATCAAGTAAATAAAAATTAGAATGACAGAAGATTTTCAATTTATATAAACACAATGTGTTTATAGAGGTAAAGGAATTTTATTACAAATGTTTTGTTCCTTAGAGATGACAGATGGGGACAGATTTGTACATTTTCCATGTGACAGCACATTAACTGACATGATAATTACACAGTCTATGTACAATAAAATTAAAATGTGAAATCTTCCAAAACATAGAATTCTTAACTATGACTAGCAAGATTCCACTAGTCTGACTCTTCTTAATGTCCTACCCCTCAGTCATACTGCTGCTCTTGTGCATAAAAGAAAGGACACAACTACTTCTATCAATTTTATCTCTTCTCTAGTAAAGCTTTGGGCCATAATGAAGTAAAATGAAAAAGTGTGTAAGAGGCTATCAGAGATACAAAGTTGGGTCGCTAGTTGCCTTTGTTCTCTTTAAGAGAGAGACGTGGTCATGAAATTGAGGTATCGGCAAGCTTATAGTTGCTTCAAACTCAGGAAAGTCTATATACACTTTCCTCCGCAATGAGACTGAGCAAAACGCCATTTGTTAGAAGAGAGGCACAATGCTTCTGAAAACCATGTAACTCAGTGAATGATCCATTTGTCATTTATTAATTACACCAATGATCAGGTGCAATGAAAACAGGTTTTGTAATACCAATGAAGCAGGAAAAGCACCCCCAAAAAAGTCAGGGTTACTTGAAAATAATACATGATCTTTAAAGGTCTTTAGAATTGGGAAAGTACATTTGGAAAAGAATGACCGTGTTTTCCCTTTTTTCATGTTCTCCCATAGGCATCCAAGTCATCCCATGGCTATATCACAGCTCAAATACTCAGCTAGATCAGACCTCTGGTCAGACTCAGTATGTTCTTACTAAAGTTTTAGAACCCTCTTACTCAATGCCTGCTTGAGGGGAATGTGAATGCAGCTTTCTTCTGATGGGGCGCCAACCATCAGCTCGCCATATAAACTTCCCTTCGCTGAAACACAGTAAGTGGAACCTTCAGCAGGGATTGGGATGTTGAGGCTACATTTATACATCGTACAGTTGTCTTCAGGGAACTCATCTTTACTCTGCAAAAAAAGAAAGTGACATTATATCATTTGACTCAACACAACAATATAAGTGTCACAGTACCTTCCAACACTTCCAAAAAATGTTAAAATACTATTAGATGTGGCTCCTATATCATCCACGTGCCTTGCAAAAGCTGTGTGAACTTCAGCTATCAGCTTATGGGCTACCTTAAGATGTTACATTTGATCAGACCATAGTGCTTTCAGCTAAAGTTTGTGCTGCTCATAGTTGAGATTTGCATTCCTAATTCACTTATAAAACTTGTACCTGGATACATATGAAAAGATAACTGTAAATAAATATATTCCTCAAGTTCACCCTCTACCATTGCTAAAATAAAGTAGTAGCAATCTCCTGAAAGGTAATCTTAAATGAAAGGTCTGTCTAGACAAGTGAAAGGGATGCAAGTAAAGTTACCAATGTTTTAGCATACATGCAGAAACAACAGCATGGGATCAAGTAACTCTATCTTGTGTACAGCTACTGCAATAATCTCATTTTTGTTGTAAGACATCCATTCGGACAACTAAAATCCAGACCTTCCAGTCACGTATCTCACTGACGCACTTGACATTTTAGGGCTTCAGTAGTCCTATGCTACGTTCAACTGTTTTCTTGATCTGTTGGCTCTGTGTTTCATAAGAGTGAACTCCTTGTTTATGCATTTAAGGTAAACAAGTATTTTTAATTTGAAGTTTTCATTTCAGAACTTACCTGATTTTTCCTATCCCAAAAAGTCACCGAGTACATGAGCTCTGAATAAATGTTTCTGATCCAAGGAAGGTTTTCCACAGATGGGAATGCAGGATGGTAAATATCAACAATGATTTTATCGCCATGCCTCGAGAGATTCAGTTTTGGTGGTCCTATTTTTCCTGCAACACATTGCACCTTTGCTATTAGGCCAAAGCTTTTAACATAAAATATGCTATTTATAGTTAGCTTTCCAAAATTCATCAGATATTTGAGAAGAATTACATGTTTATTTCAATGCTGTTAATATTGCACAGCTGTGACACTTAGAAGTAACAGAGGCATTTGGATATATTCAGGAATCTGCTTCTAAAATGGAAACAGAGATTGTCTGTGCAGAATTTCACTATTAAGCAATCCAACTTTCCTATACACATAAGGCCATAAAAATTCAGCTCACTGACAACAGAAAAAAGTAACAAAGCAATTAAACACATATATGTGAATGAGAACTGAACACAAAATACTGTTGACTAGATCCCTCCATAAATCACACTCAGCTAAAGATAATACCATACAGAAACAAAGGCTATCTGAAAATCTAAACCAATCTCATCTTGAGCAACTGTACTTAGGGAGCCTGATTTCCCATGGCAATGGCCTACATGAATTTTTGGTGTCTAATGATCTGACTGAACACATGAGTTTCTGTTCAGTAGGAAAATGATTTTGTCTTTCTCTTCCATACATGGCTACCGATTTTCCGCAGACTGTCAAACTCAGCATTATTACCAGGAATTCTGTCCCTCTGTCAAACACTAGAAACGCAGCCACTGATTCCAAGTCATGGGACTATTGGGTGGGGAGGGAATCATAGCGGAAAACAGAGAGGGACTCCATTTCTTCAGTTCCAGCAATGCAGAAATCCATCTCTATCTAAAGCACAGCCCAAGTCAGGGAGAACCTCATGGGCAATGGTCTGCCCGAAAGCTGTATATTGAGAACGGAGCAAGTACAAGAGGAAGTCTCTCAGTCTTTCCTCACTTTGTTGTGTCTGCTTTGCACTGCCATGCAATGCTGGGGCCTGCCACACTGTTTTGGACAGGTTGGCCTGGAATCTAGGCACACAGTTTACTTTTACAATATTGATGTGAAAAACTGTGATTTCTCCCAAAGCAGCCCAAAGGATTGACTTGAAGAATGAGTAACTGTTAGTTATCCAGCTACAGTGGACTGCCAGAGCTTCCAGATAGTACCTAGACACCCAAAGCTGTCAGTATAAGCGATTAGAGTGTCAAACAAAGCATCACCAACCTCCTGACTACTACTTCAGTGATGCCTAAAGGTCCACAGCTTCCAGTGACAGTTTCCTACCTTAAATTTGTGTCTGGGACACCAGGCAAGAATATGGGAAGGATGCACAGAGTGTACCGTCAGCATCACTTTCTTGCCTTTAGAAGTTTTGGAAAAAATACTCAGATACCAGTGACAGGGCTGATAAGTCCCTACAGAGGTAGAACTACAGAAGTTCCTACTGAACAACCATCATGCTTCATTTCATCCTGGACTCCTGACTTTATCCTTTTCGCCATATTATTGTGTCTTATTTGGGAATATCATAATTACTAACTTTTTAAATTTTGGGAAAAAATGACAAGGTTTAGTTTATGATGGAACTTACCATGCTTTTGCAAAATAAACTCATTTGTTTCAACATATTCTGACTGTTGTGACCCAACAACAGCTTTAACCCGAAGCCAGTGAGAGGCAAAAGGCTCATATATTTCGCTTGAGAGATCACAAAAATGAGCTGAAATGTTCACACAAGCTGAGACGATCTTATAGTAACCTAAACTGTAAAAACAGATCAAGGAACAGTTAATATAATGTCAGTTGCACAACATTCTACAACACACTGCCTGTGACAAAGTATCTGTGAGGATGACCAAGCACTGGCACAGGTTGCCCAGGGAGGTTGTGGAGTCTCCATCCCTGGAGATACTCAAAAGCCATCTGGACATGATTCTGTGCAACCTGCTGTAGGTGATCCTGCTTGAGCAGGGGGGTTGGACCAGACGAGCTCCAGAGGTCCCCACCAACCTCAACCACCCTGTTATTTGGCAAATTTTGCCTTAATTTACACTTAGGCAACCT